CGTTACGGTCGGCAGCTTCGTGCCTTGAACCATGGATTAACAAATTAGCCACAATTCAGCGAACCCAGAGTCGAAAGGGATAAATCTTTTATTCAATTTTTTGGCTGTTATCGCAACTCTAACAGTTTATTAAGGAACCGACCGGTGAATCTCAAAATCGACCAGTAATGAACCACGGCATATGACTTTTAGCATTTTTCCTTATGGGATTTCGCGTTTCCCGACAGCAACAAGTCATGCATTCGGCGGCCAGCCGAGATTCGACTAGCTTCTCAAAATCTATTGCCGATATTGACAAACGGTTAACGAGAGACAGACGCAAAACAATGAGCGTTTCTGCTTGCTGTCGTTCGACTCGTCTTCGCGATTAGACAAATTGAAATCTACGAAAATAACACCGCCGCCCCGCGGCAAGCGAACTACGCAGCAAATACTAGGCGCTTAAGAGAATCCACATTATTGCAAGAAAAAACTTTCTCAAAGTTGGTCAAGAATCGACGCAAAAGAATGAACGATTCCAACACATACCTTGAGTCGTCACCTCATCAATAGTACCGGCCAACGGGACAACACCCTTGTCCACTTTGATGCCGGGGATTATGCCCTTGTCCTTCAGCTCCTGAACGAACGTTTTACCGCTGTCCGCCTTCTGGTAGAACGACTCATGAAACATTATGACACCGGATATGTAACTGCTCATCTCCATGTCAACCGTGAACAGCATCTGGCGATACTTGCGGCGGTTCTCTTCGACGTTTTCGAGTCCGATCGGTGTTAGCCGCTTTGCCATGCTGCCTAAGACATTATCACAGGAACAGTGTCAATCCGCAGCTCCGCGCTTACCTGTGCTCTCATCAGCGGCCAAAATACCTTTGCCAGGTGTGACGATAGCCTGTGCTATCTCCCGCAATTCCTGCTCCTTCTCCGGCGTCAAATACGTCGCATAACTCGCCATTATTTTCTGTCTGAAACAGCGCAAACTTCCGATCAACAATCTCTGCAACGCTATACTGACAAATAACGCGGTCAGACCGTCGCAACAC